TGGTTGCCAATAATATCTCTCTGAGGTCCTTCTTGTGGCGGGCCTGTTGTCTCTCCAGGATCCTGGTCAGGCTTGCTTCTTGTCTTTTTTCTTTTCTTTCCTCTCTTTGTTCTGCTGTCTTCCTTCTATTATAAACCTTTTCCACCACTGCTATTAAGTCCCTAAGGTTCTTTTCTCCTAGTCTATCTAGAGACTACAACTTTTTCTTGATGTCGGGGGCTACCTGGTTAACGAAAGCAAACATCACAGTTTGGGCTGATTCCTCTGCTTCTGGGTCATACAGAGTGAACCACCGGAAGGCATCTTGTAACCTCTCTAAGTATGCAGCTGGGCTCTCTTCAGGCCCCTGCCTGACATCATAGACCTTAGACATATTGGTGGGTTTTCTAGCCGCCGCTTTGAGACCCACTAGCAGAGTCTGGTGATAGACCAGGAGCCTCTCCTTACCTTCTGCCATGTTGTAGTCCCAGTGGGATGGCTAAAGGGAAAGCTGGCATTAATGATGCCTGGGTCTGTGGTAGGGTTCCTGGTGGGGCCCGGAACCAATTTCCAGGCTACCTCCAGGATCCTGTTTCACTCCTCAGTAGTGAACAGGACACTCAGGAGCTGGTGGCAATCGTCCCAGGTGGGCTGGTGAGTGAAAAGAACAGTTTCCAATAAGTTAATCAAGCTCCTGAGGTTTTCAGAGAAAGGCGCATTCTGTGAGCACCAATTGTAAAGATTACTGGTGGCAAAGGGCCAGTAATGAAAGGGCTGATTGCCCTCTCCGTCTGGGGGCCCAGCTGGCTGGAGGGGGAGGACAACTGTGTCAGGCTGGAGGGCTGCCCCCCCTCCTGCTCCTTGTGGCCTGTGCAAGCTCCTGCGGTAGCGACGATAGTTCCTCAGAGTTAGGAGGTGGGGTCTGCACTTGTGGCACTGTTGGTGGGACGCTCGTCTGAGGGGAGTAGGGCGGGGGAAAGATGTCGCTCTCCTCTATGCCTCCCTGGAGAATGGGTTTCCCTGCCGCCTTTGGTCTGAGAGGGAGGACCTGTGAAGTTGTGTGGGGGGGAACAACAAGATTAACCCTGGGAAGAAAGGACTTGACCCAGGTGGGGGGGGCCGTCAGGTCGCTCGATGAGGCCCCGCCAGGTTACAATGTACGGAATCTGGTCCTGGTGGCCCATACATGGGTGGAAGACGTGGTCCTCTACTCTGGAAATCAAACTCAGGTTACAAGTCCCTTCAGGGGGCCATCCAACATTTAAAGAGGGCCAATCAACGGGGAAGAAAGGACTTGACCCAGGTGGCGGGGGGCCGTCAGGTTGCTCGATGAGGCCCTGCCAGGTTACAATGTACGGAATCTGGTCCTGGTGGCCCATACATGGGTGGAAGACGTGGTCCTCTACTCTGGAAATCAAACTCAGGTTACAAGTCCCTTCAGGGGGCCATCCAACATTTAAAGAGGGCCAATCAACCAAACATAAAGTTGTCCATTTCTTCTTTTTTACATCTACACTATTGTTATGGGCAATCATCTTAACGTCCCCCTAGCGTAAGATCCAGAGGGGAAGATGGGATGTTGCCCATAGTGTTCGTCAGTCCTGTCCATTTTGTCAACAAAGAAATTAGGACAAAGAGCACAAGACACAGGAACGACACAGACAAACAGAGGGCCCAGAATAAGCTGCCACGGCTTTCAGATAGTCTGGACTCTCGGCCGGGTGAGTTCCCTGGCTCGATTATGCCAAAGACCGTATGGATAGGATGTGTGTGTCCCAACAGGGTCGCGAGGTCCTCTGAGGTTTCAGACGTATTAGTGTCCTGGTGGGGCGTCCAATGAACAGCACCCACCCCAAGGATGGGGACATCTCCCGAATCCTCCAGGTCGCCTTGTTAGTGTTTCAGTGACAAGAAAAACTGAGATCAGATGGCCGCGACCAAAGTGAAGGTTTAGAGAAGACAGGCACATGTACAATTTCTAAAAACTTACCCAGCTGGTTGATCACAAACCTTTTGGGGTCAGTTCTTCTCGGGGGGGTCTCTGGGAGGAATCCCGGACGAGCCCCCAAATGTTATACCTCAAGCACAGGACTCCAAGGAGACCACTGAGGACCCAACACACCAAAAATGCAAAAGCAAGGTTTATAGTTTATTCGGGCTTAAGCTCAGGCTCTCAGACCGCACCGATATAACAGAACCGTGCTGAGAGCCCCGGGTGGGGGAAGAATGGGGCTCTTTATAGGTTAGAAACAAAGAGAGGAGGGAAATAGTGTCACTTTGTGCTTGGTCCAAGAATCCTGCTTGCGCCAACACACCTTTGAACTGATCGGTTGTACAGGATGCAGTTGTGGAGATTTTTTATTGGAGGGGGTTT